GGAGCCTACAACCACCACTGCTGTACCTCCACCATCAATGTCAACCAGCCCCATTTCTGTCATCACCTCTGGTACAACTCCAACAGAATCTTTTACCACCACTTCAGGAACAACCTCTAGTAGTTTTCCCACAATCACTGTAACCACCACCATTTCTGAAATTACTTCTCCTGCCTCAACTCGTACTTCTGGGCCAACTGCAACATCAACTGCAGTCACCGTTACAGGCAGTTCTATGTACAGTACAGTTACGCCGCCCAGTGCTTTTAGTTCAACTACAAGTTCACCACCAACCACTGCTGGCAACAATTGTACTATTTTACCTAATGAATCGTATGCGGTAAGTTTCATGAGTCTTTTTAGCATTCTGCTTTGGGTGGAGACTAGTCACATAATTTCAATGTTAGTAACATGCAGAGCAGGTATTCATCCTGATAGAAAAGGAAGTATCAGTCCATTCTCCTTCTTCCTGTTTTCTTGGGTATCAGCATGACTTCCAACGATATTCTGTTTAATAACTTATATACTGCTATTAATTCTTCAAGGACAGTTTTAAAAAGGCTTTCTTCAAGCCTCTTTATTTCTCTTGATTGTAGGATAGCTTTGATGAAGAGAAAACCAAAGACTAAGTGGTGCTGGACTATCTTTTCTATTTCTCCTTTTGAATAGGTCCAGAGTGGGGAAAAGTTGTTTGTGTGTTTACAGTGCACTCCAACAAGAACCCCCAGGGGTGAACTATTCTGAGTTTGGAATTAGTCATACTTGGTCGTAGCTTGGTTTCAGGAGAGGACCATGAGACACATTGCCACATTCAAATACTCATGAAATTTGACTCAGGGTTCTGAGTTTTTTGGGACCCTCCACCTCTGACACAGACAAGCTAATGTCTTGTACATTTCTAAAGCCTCCTCACAGCTTAGATGTCTGCCAACTTGCTCAGTAGATCTGCAGGGATAAAAAATTATACAAGGCTAAAAAACCGGTGGAAGATAGAAAAAATTCATACAATCACTATGCATGTGTGTAATCACCTTAGGCATTACTCCTCAACTAGCTGGTGTTCACTGTAACTTTAGCTGTTAAACTGTTCTAGGCATTCATGGAAGGGGATTGAAAGTATATTGATTACTGATTTTGATCAGTGTCTTTCACTGTTGATTAGCGAGGGAGTCTAGGTGATGCGATTAGATCAGACATCTAACTTTCAGATAGCTGAAACTAAAAAAATTAATTCCCACTTCAGGTTGACTGGCTTGTCTTTTATAAGTAATGCTTTTCTCTTAGCAGCTCTCAGCAGTGCTAGCTCACCTTCAGGCCTTGATGGTCATGACTGCTGCACTTCCTTCCCATTTTCAGACTCCTGGTGGGGAAAAATTGTCAATAAACAAATGGCACCTTAAAACTCTGTAAAAGATATTCAGGCATAACTGTTGTCAGTCTGGCTGCTTCATAAGGTTTCTCTTTCTCTTCTCCCTTCCCCTTTCTTTCCAAACACAGCCAGGTGAGACTTGGTGGCTCTGTGAGTGCGTTCAGGCAATATGTGTAGAAGACAATATAGTCCAGGTGGTTCCCATTATCTGTGATCCACCTCCTAAACCTACATGTGCCAATGGGCTTTCACCTGTGCAAGTCATTGATGAGGATAGATGCTGTTGGCACTGGGAGTGTGACTGTAAGTATATCTTTTGTTGACTGTTTTATCTCCTATGGGAAAAATACTAGTGTCAAGAGCAACAATATTTATCAGGGGACAAGTATCATACAAGGCTGTGACACTCAGACATCTAGTGTTGGTCTATTTGGAGTGCTTCATTGATTCTGTTTAGCTAATTGGGAGCTTTTACTTAAATTGCCATCATTTCTACATAAATATTTTGTTGGTAGAATAAACTGGTTTTCCAAGGCAGGATTTAAATGTCCAATTGCAGATATCTATAGCCTACATATAAGTTACTTCTTCAGACTATCTGCAAAGGTGTATCTAGGGTGCAGGGAACACTATTCTTAGTTGTCTATCAGAAATATCAGACGAACTGTGCCCTGAAAGTGCCTGTTTTTCTTTATTATTGATGAGTTCTAGGTAATGAGCTCGTGCATTGACGTATAGACTTTAGAAGTTTTAATGCTAAAAGTTAGATTTGATGAATGCCACACCTACAGATTTTGTTTATAGTCTGATCTGAATCTGTATGTTGCCATAAGAAGCTAACCTAGCTGTATCATTTTGCAGGCTACTGCACTGGCTGGGGAGACCCACATTACATGACGTTTGATGGACTGTACTACAGCTACCAAGGGAATTGTACATACGTCCTTGTGGAAGAGATTAACAAGAAAGTTGACAACTTTGGTGTCTACATTGATAACTACCATTGTGATACACGGGATGTGGTATCCTGTCCTCGAACGCTCATTGTGAGACACGAGACTCAGGAAGTGCGCATAGCAACAGTCAAACTAAATACTCTACAAGTAGAGGTACTGGAGAACATTACCTTTGATTTCTTGATTAAAGTATTAATATAGCATCAACCTGATGATTATATTCACAATGTTAGGGGAAAGAAAAATTAAAAAGGAACCTGCGTTTTAGATTTAATATGAGTTTGGATTATAAAATAGGACTGCTTTGAAGGACTGCTTTTTTGACTCTGAATATGGGCAAAAATTTCTACAACTTCTTCCCTGTTTTATCTCAAATATTTGCAGTGCCTTATCTCTCCTAAATACACAAACATGGAAAAATTGCTAAGAATTAAGGATATAAAATAAATTGATTTATAATTAATATTCATGTAAAAAAGGAAAAGAATTAATGTTGAATGGGAGGATACAAGGCAAACTAGACGTAACAATAAAGTACTGAACTTAAGTATTTTTTGAAAGTACCATTACTAGCTCTGATTGATGTCACCTTTCTAGTTTTTCAGAATAGAAGCTCTTGTTATAATTTTATTTCGTTGATAAACATGATGCCCCAGCTTTGGGGCTTCAAAACTGGGTGAGAAATGGTTGGTTTTAGGCTTTTGTGGGGTTTGTTTTGTTTATTTTTGTACATTACTGTGTGGGAATATTACAAGTTAGGTTGCAGCATATTGTTGAAAATTTGCAACATTTAGACCTCTTTTTTTTTTTGGTGTGGGTTTTTTTTTTTTTTTTTTCCTCCAAAGCAAGGAAATCTACCATTGCTGAATAGAAGTAGTAACGTTAGTTCCATAGGTATATCATGGATACTGTATTTAAATAAATAATACAGATTTTGGCTTACTTCTTTCATTTAATTTTCCTTCAAACATGTTCCGTTTATGCCAAGGAAGTTAAAACCATGTGCACTAGGAATTTAGGAGAATTTTATATTGCACTTTCACGAGGTGTCCTTAATATCGTAGTCACTCTAATAAATCTGTTGAGTGTTAGCATTTAGCTGATTTAAACTCTGAATTTTAACCTAGTTTGTCAGTGGCTGATAGGCATTTTCTTTCACTCAGAGAAGAAAAGTTTGACTTTCCAGTAACATAAAAGGAAACACAAGGAGACTTGTTACAAAGTGAAAGCACATTGTTTGCCTTTACATTCTGTCTGCAAAGTAAAGTAATGAACAATCAATTGTTTTCTAAAGTCAAACTAAATATATGTCTCTTTACTGTTTTCTTTTATTTATTAGGTGACAGTAAACAAACAGGCAGTGGCTTTGCCTTATAAAAAATTTGGTGTGAGCATCTATGAGTCAGGCATAAATCGTGTAGTGGAAATTCCTGAACTAAAAATGAATGTGACCTACAATGGCTTGTCGTTTTCCATCAGAATGCCTTACAGCCTGTTTGGCAACAACACTCATGGACAGTGTGGTAAGGCTTACTCTTCTAATTTTTGTACTTACAGAAAATCACAAACAGGTCAATAACAACCCTTCCACAAAGATTAATGGAATTTGCTAATAAATCTTCGAGTGAATTCTTTCTCCCCTTACCAATTTTAGGTACTTGCAATAACAACACAGCAGATGACTGCATGTTGCCGAATGGAAACATTGCAGAAAACTGTGAAACTATGGCAGATCATTGGCAAGTTGTTGATCCCTCCAAACCACAGTGCTCTCCAGGACAAATTCCCACAAAAGCACCTAGCACAACCCCGATGCAGCCTTGCAAAGAATCTTCCATCTGCGAGCTTCTTTTGGGAAGGTAGACATTCCTCTGGGGTTTATAAGTCTTTGATCTTCAAATTAAGTGGCAATTTTAGGATTCATTTCTCAATATAAAGTGTTTCTAACTGTTGCTCCATTTCTTGTAGCTTTGTGAGTTACTTCCATTCCTTCTACTGTTTCTAGATGTCATTCTTTGGCCATAGTTTGCTTCCAACCATCTGGCTGCTACATTAATCTTTCTTGGTATTCTCACATTCTTCTATGCTCTCTACCCTCCACTGTCCTATGCTCTTGCCTTTTCCCATACTCACTTAGGAGAAAGCAGAGTCCAACTGAAAACAGAGATCTTAGTTTTTAGAATGTTATATCAGAATTAAAAAAAAAAAAAAAATCAAACAAAATCTCTTTAGAAAAGTAGGTCATAGTTATGCTTGACAATATTCACATAACTGTGTAACTCCTGGACAGAAAATACTAGTGCCTGTGCATTTTGTAGGTTAAGGGAGAATACTTTAAGGTATGTTGAAAGGTTACAATCTAGACAAGTGTTCTTAGAAAAATCTCTCCGTAGTAGTCCTTATTCACATCTCCTCAAGTACCACTGTTGCCACATTATAACATGTTAAGCACATTGAAGAATTCAGGGATTATTCTGTAACTAATAATGATAAATGTTTCTGTTTCTAGTGTGTTTGAGCCGTGCCATGCCTTTGTCCATCCTGATAAGTACTATGCAGCCTGCGTTTTTGATAGCTGTGTACTTCCCAACTTAGACCTGGAATGCTCAAGTCTGCAGATCTATGCTGCCACCTGTGCTGATCAAAGTGTATGCATTGACTGGAGAAGTCATACCAATGGTGTTTGCTGTAAGTATTTGGCCATTTATCTTGAACTGTTAGGGAAGCTTATATGGAACTGTTTTGACAATATCCTAATGGTAAGTCACATAGCTTTCCAAGCAATGAAGACACCAATAAAGCACAACAGCTGCTTTCCTTAAGTAATTTTACAAGTAACATTTTTAACAATGGAAATGATAAATAAGCCTGCAAAAATATACATCTGTTGATTGTGCCAGTAACAGCTATACCAGCAGATGCTTTTTTGCACACGGGCTGGTTTGTGTTTTGCAGGCATCAGCAGATCACTCTGTTTTTAGTGATATGCATTGATTTTCAGCTGTAGTAAGAAGAGGACAGAGGGTAGGAATACACTCCCCTTTGAGAACATGTACAAAAGAGACTGAAATTATGAAAAAATTGTAATCAAGATGTAGACTCTTGGCTTTATCTCCTCAGATGTAAAGTATAGTGCTGTATCTCTATGGCTAAATTGCATAAAATAGTTCCATTCAGATACGTGAGTCTGATAGCTTTTTTTTTTTTTTCTCTTTGCTTCTCAAGATTGTCAGAGATACATAGGAAAATTAGTAGTTAGTGTTTAAATTCTTGGCATAAGGTCATGGGGCTTTTATAAGATATTGTTACTGAGTCCTTCCTCCTTTCTTTTTTCTCCCATTCCAGCTTATAAATGCCCCCCAGGTAAAGAATACAGAGCATGTGGTCCTATTAAAGAGATAACCTGCAAATCAAGGTAAATAATCCTTCACTGTTAGTTTTAGCTCATACAACTGTTCAGTCATATCTAATCCATAGGTGGATGAGAGAAATCAACCTTCTTTCACGTCTTAAACTGACTGTCAAATTTGGTACCGCTGTTCTCTTGATCCTATATCTGGGTGCCTGTACTGTTTCTGTTGCTTGGCTATACCAGACACGAACACTGACAATGCCTAAATCACAATTGTGCAGATCATTTGCCTGTATCTTCAGTGAAAGGTTATTTGGCATAATCCTCCTCTGTGTGCCTATGACAGTAATGGTGTTCCTCCCAACATTTTGTCTCATGCAGTCAACAAAACGACACTTCAACTAAACAAGCAGAAGGCTGTTTCTGTCCTAATGGAACAATGCTGTATGACTCTGGTGTGGATGTCTGTGTGAAAACCTGCGGTGAGTTTTACTGCTTTACTTGGAAGCATGTTTGTTTCCTCTGTTGTTTCCTTCTCATGTATGCAACACAGATCTGACTGTATGCAGTACTCATACAACATATAGTAGAGATGTCTATGGTTATATGAGTAATATAACTGTAATGGAATGAGTAATGGAAATTTATCTTGCTATTTTCACAGGCTGTGTTGGAGTGGATAAGATACCAAGAGAGGTATGCTGCCATATGCTTTTGTATTTCAAATGAAGGCTGAGGGTGGGGAGAGTGGTCTCCACTGGTGCAGTCTTTGCTTGTGGTCTCCGAACCTTTCATGCCTGCTTTTACTTCTGTTCTTTTTAATTGGTAACCTGCAGTCACTCACTTTATTTTCTTTAATGACAGTTTGGGGAAAGGTTTACAGTAGACTGTCAGGACTGTATTTGCCTGGAAGGTGGAAGTGGCATTGTATGTGAGCCTCATGAATGTCCCAAACAAAATAAGATCAGTTGTGATGGAGAAGGCTTCTACGAGATCAATGAAGTCAATTCTGAAGACTCCTGCTGCCCCATTGTCACCTGCAGTGAGTTGATACTTTTGTTTCTAGTCTTTCTATACCTTTTAGGAATAGAAAGGAAAAGAGAATGGAACTAATTTAGCACCAGAGACCTGCAGCAGGGAGACACAAAACGGTATCTTTGCCAGGGTTAGGGAAAATACGTTTTAATATTGCAATGACTCAGCATAACTGAATCTGTAGTTCTTGAGTTCAGGACCACATTTTATTCAAGTAAAATGCAGATAGATTATGGAATTCTATGTGGGTTTTCATTATGTGGCTGTTGCCTACAGCCTTGGAGTGAGTAACTATTGTCCACTGCTGCTCTGCAAAGAATTATGATACTTTTTTGACACCTGGTAATTATGTAATAGAAAAAGTTTCATAAACTAGTGCAGTCCCCCAATCCAGTGTCTGGATTAACTAGGAAAAATATGTTCTCTTTCTGTGATTTGTTTCTTTGGAGGGGATCTGGACTATTTCCTAGCAATGGAAAGCATATTCTAAATGCTTTGATAGATGCCTATTTCTAGTAGCCGTGATTTAGTGTACCTTCTGGCTTATTCCTTTTTTTTCAGAATGCAATACAAGCTTGTGCACGACTGTAGCCCCCAAATGTACACTGGGATTTGAAGTTCATTCTCATATTCCCAGTGGTCAGTGCTGTCCTGAGTACCAGTGTGGTAAGTGCCTTGGAAATATATTACGATGATTAGCATTATGTATTACATAATTTAGCATCACAGTTAGACTGTAAGCAATAGCCTATTGAAAGAAGTGTTAAACAGCAGATTCTACAAATCGGTTACTATTAGCATTGATTACTACTACTATAGTTATGACAAACAACTACGAAATCAGATATAGCTCAAGTGGCTCAAGTTCAGTTTTCCTGGTTGTAAGTACACGTAAGAACAGCTACAGAGTTAACTGCGACTGTGATCTCAGCTTAATCTAACAAAATGTCCCTATAAGCATCCCCAATGGAAGTTAGCTTTGCAAAGTCTGCTTTGTTCCTAGTAATTGAAACATGGAACTGCTTGTACCTCTTAAGTGGACTTTCTTGGCTATGAATTGGACTGTGTACATTGGTCCAAATCTTCCTCCCTTTTTGCACATGCAGTATCTGTTCTTATACTTTATATATGTCATATCTGCGACCGGAAACAGGGAATAACCAATGTATTTGACTATATGCATTGTGATTTGTTGTGGAAGAAATGAGTTTGACTAGAGTGGGGTGAAGACCTTTTTTTTCCCCTATGTAACCACCTAACTCCTTGTTCGTTAACAGTTCCCAAGAGGGTTTGTGTACATCAGAATGCTGAGTTCTTGGTAAGTTCCCATTTCAACAGTCTTCTGAAAATGCTTAAAAGACCAATTAGTATACTTTATCAGAAGTGTTATGAGGAGGCTTATCTAGTACAATAAATATTTTAGAAATTTTCAAATACCTGTCAGGAGTTCAATCATTTCACAAAGCCTAAATGTTTTCTGGAAAAGTTGCCATGTATGAAAGAGACTAAAGTTGTTTGTATGTCAGTATCAGAGAGAGATTTGGGTTTCGAGCTAAGTGTGCATGCATTTTAAAAAGTCAGTTCACATTTACTGTCAGCATGTTATCGCAGTTTTAAGATTATGCTTTCAAAAGTTAAAAGATTTGTAAATAAGTATTATTCTAAACAGACTTGGATTCCTAATAAATTCTGTTGAGTCTAGTAATTGTTTTATTGCAGATATTTGTATGACACCTGTGCTTTTAATATCTGAGTTTATCATTGCTATATAGCACTTCAATAAAGACACACATTAAATTACATTCAGTATTTAAAATGTTGTCTTCATAAATGGCTAGCCAAATAGCTATCCAATAGCTATCTTTGTGATTGTTTCCTTTTCCATTGCTTGGTTTAGAGATTTTTTGGGAATTAAGAAATGTCTGTCACACATGTCGTATCTCATTAATAAATGAACCTTGTTTACTTAAAATTTACAGCCTAATTCCTCAGTCTTTGTTGACAAGTGTCAAAACTGTTTCTGCACTAATCAAGTTAACGTCAGCACTCAACTGAATATTATCTCATGTGAACACATTCCATGCAACACATATTGTGAACCAGTAAGTGATAAACTTAAAAGTGATTAAAAAAAACCCCAAATACCCATGCACATGAAAAGCAGTTTTGATCAATGAGTGATATAAGCAAAGGACAGGGAGCAGAAATCCAGAGTCCAACTCCAGCACGGATATCAACTGTTCTTGGGCAATCTGCTGTGTGAAGCTTGACTGTGTAACTTAAAGTATTCATTTCGCGTTGGGAGGGTTAGCTGGGAAATTTCTGTAGAACAAGGCCCTGCACCTGGGTGAGGGCAATCCCGAGCACAAATATAGGCTGGGTGATGAGTAGATTGAAAGTAGGCCTGTGGAGAAGGACTGGGAGGATATTGGTGGATGAAAAGCTGAGTATGATCCAGCAATGTGCACTTGCAGCCCAGAAAGCCAATCACATGAAAGAAGTGTGGCCGGCACGTTGCGGGAGGTGATTCTCTCCCTCTACTCTGCTCTGGTGACACCCCACCTGCGGTGCTGCATCCAGCTCAGGGGCCCCCAGTGTAACAAAGACATGGAGCTGTTGGAGTGGGTCCAGAGGAGGGCCATGAAAATGATCAGGGGGCTGGAGCACCTCCTTTATGAGGACAGGCTGAGAGAGCTGGAGTTGTTCAGCCTGAAGAAGAGAAGGCTCTTGGGAGACCTTATAGTGGCCTTCTGGTACTTGAAGTGGGCTACAGGAAAGGTGGGGAAGGACTTTTTATCAGGGAGTGTAGTGATAGGATAAGGAGTAACCATTTCAAACTCAAAGAGGGGAGATTTAAGTTAGATATTAGGAAGAAATTCTTTCCCATGAGGGTGGTGAGGCACTGGCACAGGCTGCCCAGAGAAGCTGTGGCTGCCCCCTCCCTGGCAGTGCTCAAGGCCAGGTTGGATGGGGCTTGGAGCAACCTGGTCTAGTGGGAGGGGTCCCTGCCCACAGCAGAGGGGTGGAACTAGGTGATCTTTAAGGTCCCTTCCAAATCAAACCATTCTGTGATTCTGTGACTAATGGAGTGATATTTAATTATTAGGCATATTTATTATAGTATTTTAATCTATGCCATCTATAGCCTGCTTTTATTATTTGTCTTCTGGTGGGTTGGAACAGAGAAAGGCACAGAAAGGCACATATCTAGAGTGCACTCCAAAACATAATCAATTAATGGGTTAATATGTTTTAATTTATTTTGCAAAAATGCATCTATCATAGTGCTTTCCTTTTTAATTAATTTTAATATTTAGGGATATGAACGTCAACCAGTGAAAGGCGAATGTTGTGGAAGATGTGTGCAGACTAAGTGTGTTATACATATAGCAAGCAATTCTAACCTCATCTTGAGTGTAAGTATGCCCTGCATCTTATGTGTCTACCAAATTTGTAAAGTTCCCCCTTTCAGAGAGGGAGGATCTCTGTGTCGGAGATAAGGCTTAGTGTAAGTTTGCACCTGAAAGGTCAGAGGCTCACCTAAAGCAAAGCCTGTCGACAATTTTTTGGCCTGAAGGAAGGACTCGTGAAATCAAATTTTCTGGAAGGCTTTTCCTGGAATGACAAATCTAATACCATTGGAAGTGTTTTTCTTGCAATGTCTGGAAGCTTGGGCTTTTGTGTATTATTTCATTTCTGTGTACTGAAAAACACTAGTAAACAATTTTATTGCCCCTGTAGGGTGAAAGTTTAGGAAAGTTCTTAATTACCATACAACAGTTGAGCTTTCCCATGGCAAAATCCATTGGCATGGATGATTTTAATAACTCTAATGTACTCCACATAATTCAGAGGTATTTTTCTTTTCCGAGGGAAAGCCAGTGTAAAATTGAAGATTGTCTCCATGTATGGCATACTGCAATATACGTAATAATCTGTATCCAAAATGGCTGTTAATCTACAAACAATTGACTGAGAAACAAGAGGAAAGTCATTGTTAGAGGACAGGAAAATTTCAGCTTTCCTTATTACATTTTATATTTTGCTTGCAGCCTGGAGAGTTTAAAAATGATCCTTACAACAACTGCACCATTTATAGCTGTGTAAATATCCACAACCAGTTTATCTCTTCCACATCTGAGATTACCTGCCCAGCATTCAATGAGGACAGCTGCAAACCTGTAAGTAGATATGGAAAACTTACCCTCTACTCAATGCATAGATTACTTCAGTTTAGTTTAGCCACCTAACTAGCAACAGAAGTCAAATTAAGCTCTGATGATCTTCCACGAAAGTTTCTCAGTCCCAAGGGCAAAAGTTTCTGCTGCATCCATGCACAGACCAATAGAGTGTATAAAATAAGATACCAGGGTGAGAGTTCAAGGCTTATAACTGGCAGCTGTCTTTCAGTAGCCAAAACACTGGTCAGCACTGAGATATCGAGTCCTCCTGACTGCTTTGTGGGGTGTCCTGTCTGAACAAGAACCTTGTTCTCTTGAATGTTACAGAAACACAAGCAGTTTAGTCAGTAGGCTGCCAGTAACACCATGCATACTCCCCATTCAAACACAGAAGTCTCTGAGAAAACACTTTTTGGAATAGTTTCTGAGGAAAAATTGCATTATGTTAACTGTAGACTTCTTTTAAAGCATTATCTTTATTTCTACAATCCTTTGTAAGTTGATAGATTTAAAGTCTGGAAGAGACAGTTATCTTCGTTTATTCAGATACATGCTACAGTTTTATTTTCAGCCATTGAGGAATTGCTCTCCTCAGTTACTGGCCTAAAAGCCCGTTTAATACAGGGAAAGAAAATAATATTATTTTTCCTTTTTCTTTGTTCTTTTAGGGAACTGTTACATTCTTGCCTAACGGTTGTTGCAGAACTTGTAAGTATGCCAGTGTACCTGGATCAACAACACAGAGAATGAATTTTCTTCTTAAATCAACGCATTTTCCAGCCATGGAGGTTGATATGTTTGTGTTTAAATAGATACTTCTACATTTATGTTTGTTAGTCCAAGCAGTCACTGTCTGATCTCTCTGGGAAAGTTTAAACTGAAGCAGAATGACCACTTAAGCCAATTCTTTGAGTGCACTGGTGAAGCCCAGAGGTTGCTGAACTGCAGGGAACTTCTGGAG